AGGAAGGAAGGAAGGAAGGAAGGAGAGAGAAATAGACAATAGGAAGGAAAAGGCAAGGACAAGAGGAAGGAAGGAAGGAAGGAGAGAAATAGACAAAATGAAGGAAAAGGAAAGGACAAGAGGAAGGAAGGAAGGAAAGAAGGAAGGAAGGAGAGAGAAATAGACAAGAGGAAGGAAGAGAAAGGAGAAGGAAGGAAGGAGAGATTGATAAGAGGAAGGAAGGAAAAGGAAAGGACAAAAGGAAGTAAAGAAGAGAAAGGAGAAGGAAGGAGGGAAGGAGCAGCTTGTCTCCAAAAGGTGTGGATGCTCCAACACGAGTACTTTTCAAGAAGAGGTTGGACCACCAGTTGTCTGGAATGGTCTCCTGCTTGAGAAGGGGGCTGGACTAGAAGACCTCCAAGGTCCCTCCCAGCTGCGTTTCTGATTGAACCGAATCAGAACGGGCTTCCTGGATGTTGGCTGGAAGACATTGTTAGCCGTCGCTCTTCAGAATCCAGCAGGGGATTGGCAAAAGCCTCCGAGAATGACCGGTCCGCCTTGACCCTCCCTCTGTTTCTAAGGCAGCGCCGCGTGTGTCCGTCTCCTCATTGACGTCGGTGCGAACCTCGAGGCCCATGACTGCCATTTTGGAACGCCGTTGCACGTGGCCTGTGCGCGAGAACACCTGGATTGCGCCAAGTTGTTGCTCAACGCAGGTGAGTGGCTGCAGGGACCACCGAGGAGGGGGTGGGTCGAAGCGCTGGAGATTAAAAACCAGGTGACCCAACCTGGTTCAGGTACCCCTTACCTGGTCTAGTCTTCAAATAAAACCTGTTTGGGGCGGGGGGTGTTTGTGTCAAAGGTTTATCCTGTCTTAGTCTAATGAGATTAGCTGGAGCCTGTTCCCAGTGTGCACATGCACAGAGCTGCTAGATGAAGGGTCTGGGGAAGGATCAGACGAGGGCTCTGCGTTGGAGGCAGAGATGGGGCCAGGGCCATCCGACAATTAGCTGCCTTCGGAGTCGGACCTCAGTGGGGAAGAAGAACAGCTGGAGCCTGTTCCCAGTGTGCACATGCACAGAGCTGCTAGATGAAGGGTCTGGGGAAGGCTCGGACAAGGGCTCTGCGTCGGAGGCAGAGATGGGGCCAGGGCCGTCCCACAGTTATCAGCTGCCTTCAGAGTCGGAGATCAGCAAGGCAGAAGAACAGCTGGAGCCTGTTCCCAGTGTGCACATGCACAGAGCTGTCAGCAGAAGGGAACAATTAAGGAACAAGGGCAACTTGGGAGTAAAGCCACAGGTGGATGGTGAATGACCGCTCCCATAGGGATTAAAAGAGGAGCGAAAGGGGAGTGGGGTTTGCAGGAGACAATTAGTTCATTTAATTAATGGGAAGTTCTGTTCCTGACTTCTTGCCAAGTCATTGCTGCTACAGTGTGGTGTTTGGAAGCTATCAGCCTGGCAACTCTCCCAGCCTGATAAAGGCCTTTAGTTGTGCAGGGAGAGGAATTCCCTTTAACCTAAATAAAATGGGTTTTATTGGGACGAGGAGTCGGCTTCATGATCTTGGGAAGCCTGAACGGTCAGAACAGAACCGTTGTAAATCGAGGACGGTCTGGAGTGCATCTCTGACCTTCCCTTTCCACCCCAACGTCCAAGGAGCCAACGTGAACGCCGCCAAACTTCACGAGACGGCCCTTCACCACGCTGCCAAAGTGCGAAACACCGACCTGGCGGAGATGCTGATCCAATTCGGAGGAAACGTTTACGCCCGGGACAACCGAGGCAAAAGGCCTTCCGATTATAGCCAGAGGAGCAGCTCCACAGGAAAATGCTTCGCCTACTATGAACGTGAGTTTATTTTACTTTTTTCTTTCATCTGTCTCATCCGGGTGTGCATTAGGTCATGTCAGGAATCAGAATCAGATTTGGAATAGAGCTGGAAGGGACCTTGGAGGTCTTCTAGTCCAGCCCCCCTGCTTGGAGATCCTATATACCATTTCAGA